TAGATAGAACAACTAAAAACGTAGAGAATTGTTAAAATATTATTTCAAAATACATAAAAAATTTATACTTTGGTTAAACAAATGTAACACGGGAAACGATGGAATGACCCATTACATAAGTACATGGGTGAATCTCACGAAATGTCTCCCGATTGTTTTATATATATATATATATATATATATATATATATATATATATATATAATATATATATTATATATATATATGTTTTCAAACAAATATCTGAGCTAGTAAAAGCATCCTAAAATATCAGTTTACTAAGTAAATTAAACACATCCAAAGCAATCGAATCAAATATAAAATGTTATTAAAAATTAAAAGAAATAATTTTTATAACCATTTATGTGGGTGTTACAAAAATTGATTCTATCCTCCGTAAATCTGTTTTTGCTTTAAATTTTATGCAACGGATGGCGCTTTAATCATTTTAAATAAGCAAAAACCTCTGTTTACGACATTTTAGATGCATGTGATTCCTGAAGGTCAGTTTTAGGAATTTACTAATGAAGATTGGCTATTTGACAACATAATTACGAAAATTAAAACATCCCTTGGAACCCATTAACTCGAGCATGTGGCAGCGAAAAGCCCGCAAAAACGAGAATTCCTCTTCGACGTAACTGTGCAAGAATTCGCAATTCACGCGGTAATTTTTTCCTTTTAGATCTTGGTTTCGCAGTTTCTCGTGACAAAGTACCCGACGCGACATTACGGTGTGTTTGCTGCGCTTTAATTAAAACAGCATCATTGTGTTAGCGACTCAGACGGAGATTTTCGCTTGACGCTGCGATTAGAAAGCCGACATCCTTTAATTAATTTAAGGCTTTGTAGAGGTTTAAAAGCGTGTGGCAATGCTGTTCCGTGGTTTAATTATCGGGTGTGAATGCGGGTCAGGGGTAGGAACGGACCGCGTCCAAGCACCTAAATAAATAAACCATTTGCACAATATTGTCAAGAAAAGAGTTGAAATCTGTTGTTAAAATATTTTCCAGTATAACTTTACAATACTGGACAATATGTTCGGGAGTGAAGCATCACACCACCCAAGATAACCAATGAAATGATTTCCCGCTTGAAATAAGACGCCGGCCGGTCGCTCAACTGCAATCTGCGTTATCAGTTTGCAGTTTTAGTTGCAGGTGTTAGGAAGTGTATCATTGTGAGGTTAGTACCACATTTCTGTTGAGTAATTATTGAATATTATTTTTCCGAATAGGTGGGTAGGTGTTTGCAAAATTGTTCAGGGACTGGGATAAATCAATAATTATGACCTATGTTGTCAGTGTAAGTTTAAATTAAGTTTAGGTATTCTATATTCCATATTATATTAAGTTTAGGTATTCTATATTCCATATTTTTTCTATAAGTCGCTGAATACATAGGTATCTAAATTAATAATTTAGTTTCATTTCCTTTTTACCACCCTCGCATCCCAAAAGTTATTATTATTTTTAAATAAATTTGTGAAATTATTATTAAACAATGTTCAGTTATTATGTGCCACAATTTGTGCAATTTCACCACAAAATACACTCACAGGCAAAATAATCGATCCACACAAATTTTCAATCGCAAATAACTTTTTTATTTGATGTCGGATTTAAACGAATATTAAAGAATATTGTAGATAAATTAATGGATAATCGCTCACATTTTAAAAAATTACTAAAAAATAGACGTACGTTTATAATATACAGGTTTAAACAAAAATATGTTTTTTACCATAAGTTTAAGATACTCTGTAGAGTGGCAAAACCGTATATTAGTATATTATTCTAAATTAAGTTTTATTTATCAAGTAATATCTATTTTTAACAGTTTTGTTTTTGGTTCACCTTGATATATTTATTTTTGTGAAAAATATGGATTTTTTTAAAAAAACATTGCAATTTCCAATAGTTTCCTGTATGAAGAACTAAGGTTTCTATGGTCCATCCATAGCCTATGGAGGATGACAGTGACAGTTTTGTTGAATCATCCATACTTGGACTTGTCATATACAGCTTTCAAAAGCTATCAAATTGTTTTTTGTAAATTAATGTGTTAATTTTGAGGTGTCTTCTTACTTTTAAAAATGTCTCCGACTGATGTTGCCCTTTGTACTTTACTTCTTGTGACGTTTAAAACACTTGCCACGTAATACTGTGACCGTCCATCCTGGATTAAATTAATGGCTCTGGCAACATCAGTCGGAGACATATCCATTTTTTAAAGTAAGAAGACACCTCAAAATTTAAACATTAATTTGCAAAAAACAATTTGATAGCTTTTGAAAGCCGTGTATTACATGTCCAAGTATGAGATGATTCAACAAAACTGTCACTGTCATCCTCCATAGGCTATGGATGGACCATAGCAACCTTAGTTCTTTATACAGAAAAAGATTGAAAATTGCAATGTTTTTTTTAAAAAATCCATATTTTCCACAAAAATAAATATATCGAGGTGAACCAAAAACAAAACTGTTAAGAATAGATGTGACTTGATAAATAAAACTTAATTTAGAACAATATACGGTTTTGCCACTCTACAGAGTGTCTTAAACTTATGGTAAAAAACATAATTTTGTTTAAACCTGTATATTATAAACGTACCTCTATTTTTAGTAATTTTTTAAAATGTGCGCGATTGTCTATTAATTTATCTACAATATTCTTTAATATTCGTTTAAATCCGACATCAAATAAAAAAGTTATTTGCGATTGAAATTCATCGAAAATTTGTGTGGATCGATTATTTTGCCTGTGAGTGTATTTACTTTAGTTTGTAATTTATGTTTTCTGTTTATATTAACTAACAAAATTATTGTATTGGTCGCTGAATGCATATTTAATCTATCGACATTAAATTTTTTACTATTATTTTAAGTGGAGACGCACTTCATGTTGAATTATATCACAATATTATTATAATTAGCTATACCAATTTTATTTTTCAGTTTGTAGTTTATGTTTTGTTATGTTGTCAGTGTACGTTTATATTAAGTTTAGGTACCGTAAATACGGGTGACTTTGCACCCCGCGGGTGACTTTAACCCATTTATGAAAAATCATTTTGCGCTTGATAAAATTAACATTTATAATTTGTTGGTCTAAACCTGTCAATTGAGCGATTCTATTGAGTTTATATTACAGGAAAATCAGTGTTTTAAAGAAAGAAATGGGATTTATTACACTTTAAAATTGTATATATCGTATCAGTGCAAAACTCTTAGAAATACACGCGTTACAATTTCTATATTATGCGCAATCCTTTGGAATGATAATCCTTGGTTAACTACAGGTCGATTTTTTATTTTTTTATCGGTAATCCCTTGCAATAGATATAATTCGCTGCTAACATGTGTCTAATAAAAATAAAATAAAATATTGAGTCAATTTTAAACGGAAAATACACTTTGAGACAAAGTAACCCGCAACCAGGGGGTAACTTTGCACACCCAGTTTTTAATTTTTATTTTCGAAACTCAGCGCTATGTAATATTATAACATAGTTATTATGAAAGAGCAACTCAAGACTCAAATTTTGTTATACAAAATTTAATGTTTATGATTGATAAAACCACAAAAATTTTAAGCTTAAGTTTGAAAGTGAGCCAAAGCCACCCGTGTTTACGGTATTCTATTTTCCAAATTTTTTGTATAAATCGCTAAATAAATAGGTATCTTAATTAATAATTTAGTTTTATTTTCCTTTTTACCAGCCTCGCATCCCAAAAATTATTAAAATTTTTATATAAATTGGAGAAATTATTATTAAACAATGTTGTGTTATTATGTGCCACAATTTGTGCGATTTTACCACAAAATATTATATTAAAAAAGTCCCTAAAATATTATTTACGTATACTATATACTATTGAGTGTACTAGATTGTATTATCACCAGCAACAAAGTCTAAAAAACGAGAACAAAAAATAATATTTTTCTTCAAAATGTCAATAAAAATATTTTGCAAAGATTTCTAAAATTTAAGTAATTTGTATGCAAAAATATGCCAAAAGCTGAACTAAAACTTCCTTAATCGTCATTTCAAAAATCAATAATTTCATCCGACCATTATGCCTGAACTAGTCGAAAAAAAAAAAGATTTTATTAAGAAGTGGCTTATTTTATTTGATATAGTTCACATTAAATATTATTCATCGTAAAACATGATTTTTGTGTGAATTTCCTTATGGAAAATATAAAAATTAACTATATATATATAGAGGGTGATTCACTTAACTTATTCATTGAATAAATTAGGCAAAACCACAGACCAACAAAACAAATGGACGGATTTGTTTACGTTTAAAAAGCGAGTAAAGCATACTTTCACATTCTAAACACCGTCGAAGGAAACAAGGCTTCCAACGTTGTCAGAAGTATAGATTACACGCCTTTTTGGACGTTCATCATAACATAATGAACATTAAAAATTACCAGTAAATCGTTTGAATAATAAAAAAATTGTAAAAAGGATTTGTTCACCATTTTCTTTAGATATTTTTCTCTATTTAAAGAAATTAATCATTTAATAATTATTAAAATTAAATATCAACAACGTTGATAAATTCGTCATATTGACAGCATAGAAAAAGGTTGCCAACTTGTTGTTTTGTGTTTTATAATCTGTGGTTTTCGTTTGTGTATTTCTATCGTGTTTTATTGAGTTTAAATACATTATTTTTTACTAAAAATGGTGCGAAAGTGTAAAAAAACAAACCAAAGAAATCCAAATCTACCTTTCATAGGTAAGGAAGAAAACATAAAACACAGATTATAAATAAAATTCTATAACCAATTTAACGCTTAGACTGTGACCGTTTCTTGACGTCACTTGAAGAAAACATAAAATTCTATCTCCAATTTGACGCTTAGACTGTGTCGTTGACCGCAAACAAAGCATTGTTATTGAATGGCAATGCGCCGTCCATTTGTTTTGGTGGTCTGTGGGCAAAACACCCTTTGTAATAAAAAAATAATAAACACACTTACTTTGACGTATGCCGCGGTGTGGGGCAGCATTGGAGACGGCGTGGTTGGCCTCAAAAAGAGCGCGTAGTGACCTGCGAGGCCGAATAACTCGCAGCGCAGAGTTAAAACCCGTCGACCAGGGAAACCACGCACCTGCTCCGAATACAGCACCTGAAAACGGGAAAACCCTCATTCCTTGGCCTAAAAGTATGCAGATGGCGCCGCAAACAAAAAATCTCCACCTTTGACAAGCACCGTTCGTTTTGAGATTCCTCAAAATTACAAATTAAGTCGATATGTGGAATAATATAGTGGATCATCGTCATTTTACTGGACACTTTCGTGGTATTTCATATCAAATATGCAATTTAAATTGTAAAAAATATTATATAAATACTGTTTTACAATTTTAAAACAAAAAAGTAATATGTTTTTTTTTCAAATGTCTTGTACAGGGTGTCCCAAATTAATTGTCCGTATAGGATATCTCAGTAAATATAAATGCTAAAAAAATTCGACCACGCATCCCCGTCGTCTTTTTTAAAGATACATCGGTTAATGTCTTTAAATTTTCTCGATTCGCATTTGTTTAGATATACCTATTTTTTCAATTTTTGCCAATTTCGACAAATGCTTGTAGCTTCGTTAATATTTAAGTTACGAATACAGGTTTAAAATATTATGTAGGCACTTTTTATCATAGAATTCATTAGTGTAGACAGATTTTTTTAGCTCTTTTAGGTTAAGAGATATGACCCTATACGGACAACCAATTTGGGACACCCTGTACATTTGATGTCCCCCAACTTAAATATTTTATAAAAAATTGGGTTTAACGCCATTTGGAACTTTACTAAGCGAAATCAATTGGTTTAAGTGTTTTTAGCAAGTATATATTAGCAAAATCGTAAAATTTTAAATTTAACCCTATCAAAAAAATTAAACTTTCCCCAACCGTAAAGAAAAGTGGCTGTCCACTTGCAATAATATTTACTACTTAATGCAAATTAAAAACCTTAGAGTAAAATAACATCTTCCTTTTTTATATAGTTGAGAATATATTCCAAATATTACAGAAAAAGCCCATTTGTGGTAATATTTAAAAATACAAGTGGTTAAAATAACCCCTAAAGTTTTTCCCTTAATTTTGCTCTTCTAGGTCAAGTCTCCTGGGTCACAGCTTTTATAAACGACCTTTTGAATTGAGCGCACATTTTTTGGTGGTGCCCCCTTGCGGCAATGCATTTGGTAACGGATTTTAGTGGGAAACGGTGTTTTGAACTATCTTGAAGCCACAACACGTTTTATTGTAATTTTTATACCAGCGTGGCAAAACTGTGCATTCTCTGTGTCACAGTAATAAAAAGTAGTAAAGGTACCAGTTAGACTTTGTTTGATTCTCAAAAGTAAGTATCCTAGTAAGGATTTTAAGGACAAAATACAAATTTTTTAACTTTAAATCCAACTGCTCACTTTTAGGTATTAAATAACACCCCTCAACAAAAAACAGGTTTGTAGTTTAAGTTTCTGTTTTTACTTTTTTTTTCTTTGAATGTAGAAGAATTTTGAAAATGACCCATTTATACAAACATTCAATTGCAAGATAAACCCATAACATGAATAAAAACCCCATAAATACCGAATAATTTACAGTTTTACTACCTAAATATACCGTCTAACCGGTTCATATATCATTGTGTATACTGTAGTACTTTGAAATGGAAATTAGGGAATAGCCAACAAAACACTTGGTAAGGATTAAGACAGTTTCAGCGAAGTCTCACTTTAAGGCACCTTGATTGCCAATTAGCGCTTAACGTGGCACATTAGCGAAACGAACAATGTATTCTGCAAGACGTTTAAGATTCATAAAATTCGAGTTTTACGCTTCGAACGCTTAAAGCGCCTTAATTGTTTCTTTAGTTCTGATAATGAAGTCGGCGGTTTGAGGCAAAAACGCTTTGCGCCGCGAGATTAATTCGGTACAGCGTTAAATTTATGATACGGCATCTAAAAACGCCCAAGTTGAGCATTAAGTTTGAGCGATGTTAGCAACTCGAAGGAAGATTATGTTTTAACCCTGTTTTACATTTTGTCCAAATTTCAAATCCATACGTTTTGAAATAAAAAAGTTATTTTAAAACAATGAAATTTCTTCACTTTTAACACAGTGAAGAAAAAAATAAAAACAAAGTTGTCAATGGACGAGATTTTTGTTGTTGAAAAAGTACTGCATTTAGATGTAGAAATAAGGTAAAAAAGTTTAAATCGACCGTAGTTAAAGGCTATAGTATAGAATTTGCATTAAACAACAAGGAATATTTCTCCCCTGAAAGCAAGCATTTGATCCCAAGGAAGTTTAGTGTTTGCGACGATTAAATCTAGACAATTTGTCTCTTTAATCTCTTTGCTTTTTGCCTATTAGTTATACTTCTCGTCGGGCAAACACAGAAAGAAGGCCAACTTGTAAATGATGGAAAATGATTAATTTCTGCTCGAATCTATTTATCATCGGCAATTAATCACGACGAAGACTTAAAAAACTTCAGGAAAAATAATATCAAGCTTTGTTCATTAAAGTTGGAAGAAGCAGTTAATATCCTGTCAAAAGTGTAGGAAAATTATCTTTTATAATAAGTTTATTCAAACGACTTACCTGAGCGGTTCTATTCAGCTCTGCATCATTGTTATCACAGGTGAGAAGGGAATGCCCGCAGTAGTGGAGTTCGAGCCAGAACTCCGGTATCGCACTGGCAAGACTGTCCGCTACTGGCGGACAGACAACTTCCGGAAACTCCAGAATGGCCATCACTGGGTGTTCCGGATACGTCTGTACCTATAAAACGGACGAAATGAATGGCTTTTTTGGGTTAAATCGAATTGCAAAGATGTGGGCAAGGTTTAGGAGGACGTGTCGGGGTTGGGCTGAATTTTATTTACAGACAAGTAAGGTTATATTAGCTCTTTGTAACCAAAAAATGAATGTTTTTTTGGGGTTACATCGATTTGCAAAGATGTGGGCAAGCTGTATGAGGATGTGTCAGGGTTGGGCTGAATTTTACTTACATGTTCAGGGGTAAGCGACAGCTGCGGCATGGGCCACCGTACATCCAAACTCCTAGTTACAACCGAATCATCAGCGTTAGAGGTAACATTTTCTGCACCTGGCACAGTCTGTTTCTTAACCAACACATAGTACTGTCCGCCGCGCGAAAAGTACCCGCACGGTATCTTGATTATTGTCGCGTTCTTTTTCAGGGCTGTAGCTTCCGGGTAAACCGGAAACGTGGTAAGGGGCTGCGCCACGTTGCCTTCGAGTCGCGAGAGCTGCAGCAGGAGTGGGGGGAATGAGTTTGAGGTGATTTGGACGTGGAGGTCCCCACTCAACGCAGTATGTGAGGGGGGCATGGAGAGTTCTATGCCTGGGATGCCTTCGCCTGAAAAAAATAAAAAAACTTAAACCCTGTACTTTCACTGTAAAAAAACTGCTTCTATATCGAATTAAAACGGTTGTTAGTCCATTTTCAAGGGATAAATTTCGATTAACAAAAACATATTTATTGTACTTTTTAATATACAAAAATGAACCTACACCTCGCCAAAGTTTTTTGTTTTGAGTGCGTTCCATCAACTTCAAATACCGACAGAGAGGTGTTTTGTCCTATATTGGGTATCATCAGTGTCGACACGACACTGTCGAGCAACTTGTAGTAGGGAAACACACCCAAAACAAAGAAATACCTGAGCTTATATATCATGGTTGGTAAGGCAACAGAGGCGAGATGTAAGAACATCACGTGATCCACACCGTCTAACGACGCGTCGCGACGTGGCCTTTGCCGCAATCGGTACATACTATGCAACCAAGTAGGTTCAATTCTTCTTATAAGTATTACCAGTAATGGGTCAAGAAAGTTTATTGAAGAAACTAAGAAAATTGAATGTTTCAAATGTCATGAGTTACTATATTGTATATTATATTTAAATATATCGTTTATTTACCTTAAACATAAAAGTATCTTTATTTTTACTATATTTTTTATTGATGTGTATTATATTAAAATATTACACCTTACATTTGATTAAATCATATAGTAAATATTACTATTTGTAGATAGTAAAATTTACTATACGAACATATTAAAAATTAAAATATATATTATACATTTATAATTTAGTAATATTGGTGTTGTAATCTTTACTAAAATTGTATAATAAAAAATAGTATTTTGTATTAAAATCTTAATATTGTATTGACGAATATATAATATTGTTACCATAAAAATTTGTTAAAGTAAATTTTACTATATTTTTTTACTATCTAAAATTTACTATACATTTCTCTCCGTGTATATATAAATATTTAATTTATATTTTGTACAAATTTGTCACGACAGAAAAAAATTGATGACGTGCAAAAGCCCAAATATTTGTCAGGGTAATTAAGTTGGCTCTAACAATAGTTTCTTTGCGTAATAAACTCATCGAGAATCATTAATCAAGCTAAATTTTATCACCAGACGGGCAATTAAAAGCTTACGGAGAAATATAAGCAGTGCCTTTAATTGCACACAAAGCCGGTTATAAATATTTGGTTATGAGAGGAAAAAATACTGTAAAATTGTCACAAACCTCCCTAAAATTATTCCAATTATTTAGGTTTTCATGCAAAATACGATGATTTTAAATAAAAGTCCCTTAAAAGTTTCAATAAAAATATTTTATATACTTTTTCTCCGCAGTTATATTTAAAGTAGACAACATTTGTAAGGCTTAAAGCAAACATACCATTAAAAAATAACATACCATTAAATTTGCGTTTGAAAGAGATACCGCACAAAAAAAGTAGAAAAAAAAATAAAAGAAGCTTTCGATGCATCTGCGTTAAAATTGGAAAGCGGCTAAACAAGGATTTGTTCCCGGAAAAGTTTGCTGCTACAGGTAAATACGTTTTAAGGACAAAACTTTCCAGTTTCCCAAGCGTAGAGTTGCTGGCATAAAGGAAAATGAATAAAATTTGTTTAGTTTTGCCTTGCTTTCTTTTAAACATCACGAATATGGCGCTATTATTTTAGTATCAAGAGAAAGTTTTTTAAATAAAATTTAATCCCATTAAATTAAATATAAAGGGTGAGGCAATTAATTTCATTATTTCCATCTGTGACTGTTGCTCGAAGAAGTCTTTTTTTCGGTTGAACACTCCCGTTTGTAGTAAACTGCTTGACTGTACGGTGAAATGAAGTACGTGATCGAATTTTATCCGGAAAACGCTGAGCGTAGATATTAACAGCTTCATCAAGATTCCTGCCTGCTTCTCCATAAATCAAAATCGTTTCTATTTTTTCTTCCACTGTTAAAAAATCCATTATGAATAACTGCTTAACGAAAGGAGGTCTTTTTGTTTGCAAATTAATCTTCGAACTAAACTGATTAAATAATGCCAAACTATGTATAAATAGTTTCTTTATACCTCAATAATATTTATTATTTATAACTAAATACCATTTTTTATACCTCAATTAGGATTAAATTAATAAATTAATAAAATAATGTTTTTTTTGCCTTAAATGAGGTATTTTTATTAAAAATAGTACAATAATCCTTTAAATAAAAGGAATTAATGCTGACAGGTAAAAAGTGACAATGTTGCGCAATTGATAATTATCACCGAATGAAATAATGTATAAAACTTAAACCAAAGATAACTTAAATGTTAGTTAAAAATCGTGGGTACTTAAAAAATCAGATTTTATTTAATGAGATAATTATTACATTACTCACCATGTAAAATGGAGAATGCTTGTACATGTACATACCCCATAAATAAACCCAAAACATGATCGATGCGTTAAACTTTAATTAAACTCCCAAACCTCATATAATGGATGATACATTTTGCAGTAAGGCTGGTTAACAATATTCTTAGGTGTGAAAATATATCTGGTATAAAGAGAATTTACTTTACCATAAAAAATAAAACTTAAAACGTTTTTAAAACATTTTTATCCATCAAATTCCATGACATGCATCTTCCTTAGAATCAAGTTCCTACACCAATAAAACACAAATTGCTTCTTGGTCCCCGTATCAAATGCATTTACGTTGTCTCAATCTTTCATTATTTTTAGTTCCGTTAAAGGCGATGGCACATAAAAGCTATTTGTCTGGATTCTTGTCAGACATACCGACATGTCTCGTAGACTTTGTAACGTCAACAGATGTTTTTTTTACCCTGTGTTGATAAATCAGCTGCAAATGCTTCTGTCTACTGAAAGCCTTTTCTTTTAGTAAATTTAAATTTAAACTTTGCTAGTTTCCTCAACAAAAAAATATATTGAGCATTGTAAGGGGACGTTTTATTAGCAGGCTTTTCACACACCAACACTTTAGTAAAAGGTATAATGCAGTGTAAATCCTTTTAAAGATTTGACCCATTTCGTTTGGATACCCTCCAACTTCTTACCTTTCAATTTTATCTAAATCATTTCCAAGTTTTTTTAAATGATTTCCAAGAACTCTATGAAAGAAGTTAAATTTAAAGTTTATCCAAATTTGAAACTTTCCTATTCGACATAATACCATCAAAAATAAACACAAACACCCACAGTAAAATATTATTCTTCGCAATTCAGTTAAGGCAAGATTTTCTGTACAATTCCCCTCATTGAAATGTTGATATAAAGGGGTGGTAAGATGCAGCCATCTGAAGAGTGCTCATTAAAATTAGCTGAAGAGATGTAATTATCACATCCATTTATGTAGAATGGTGCACATTCTACATTCTATGCTATTGCTGCCAAAATAATAGCATTTATGTACTGCATTTAGGATGACAATAGCTTAAATTGGTGTACATTTATACTAATAACACAGGTAAACTAATAAAAATATTAAAATAGAATCTCTAACGGATTGCATTTTTTTTAAATTATAATATAAAATGTGCGAGTGAAATAATGGTTAATATAAAGTATATCCCGTATGGTCTAGTAATTAGGATACCTAGCTCTTAATGTTGTAATGTAGTTATTTATATGACAAATAAATGTCACAATCTACCATAATGTACAATTTAAAAAATAGCGAATGCGCCGGGATCACACGCCTACTTTTCACATTTAAATTAACATACATTATGCTGGTTTGAATATACACTAACCACATTTTGCCAATTAAATAAGCGATAACATCCCCACAAAAGAAAATAATTTTAACGTCAAAACAAATTGATTTTGCTCGATTGCTAATTAACAATTAAATTTAATGTTTAATGTTGTATCAATTTAATGGCTTCGATCGTTTAGCGAAAATTTAATTAATAAACAAGTCAATTAATACACTTTAATTAGCAATTTCTATTACATTACGCCTCATAAACTGCATTTACTGTTAATTTTTGTGTGCCTATGCCATAGTCAATCACTTAAGTGTCGAATGTTGATGAAAATAAAGTTTGAATTATAAAATTATAAAGATTATAGTATATTATGTATATATTATAATTATATATTCCTTGTTGAGCCCTTTACCCAAAACCTACTGTTTCTATTTCTAAGAGCAAGCACATAATTTAAGAATTTAAAAGCCGAAAATAAGTTGAACATGGTCTAAAAATTTAAAATTCTTCAAAAGTAATTGAAAAATAAGACAAATATTTTGTTTTATTTAATATTTATTAAATAGTATTTTTTTAATTATCTATAATATAGGAATTATATTAAAACATTTCAGTTTTTTAATTTAATAAAAGAAATCAATAAATACAACAATGTTAGGGGTAATTATTGTACAATGAAACTAAAGAAAGTTATAAATCAATTGTGTTCAAGTATTCAGCTTTTCAATCAGACAAAAAAACAGCAAAGATATTTGATATAATTAACATGGTAGTAATTTTATCTTTTTTAATTATATCTTTGTTATAGGTATGTTTACCTTCTGAATTTATTTTTTCATATATATTTACAAACAAAAATACTTTCTATCTTTATTCATATTTTAAATCAGTCTCTAACGACTGATATAAATTATATCAACCGATTTACATTTTAGATGATTTTATTGGCAAAAAAACAAATCTAGTAAACCATGACTTATTTTAGCGAAATTATTTTCTAAGGTTAAAAGCAAATGTCACAAACGTCAAATAAATCTTGATGAAATTTTAAGGTGTGGGTAGAGAAAAATATTTAAACTTTATTATAACAATAAAAAAGCCATTTGGCAAAGCTGCCTAAAATAAAATATTAAAAATGCTAAAATTCATAGTTGACCGTTAAACTACTAAACATAAAACCTATTTTTTATTTCTAATGTAAATAATGTTGATAAGGCGGTGTAAAATGCAGAAACCTAGCATAAAATCTAAACGATTTCGGCAATTTAGTCTTTTAGTGCATTTTTACATTAAAAACAATAAAAACCTGGCAATAATCAT